GTTTTTTATTACGTTTCTTTAAGGAGCACTTTTTAAAATTCCGTAGGTAAATTTTACAGAATATAAAATGTTTATACATATAAATGATATAGATTTCGGCTATAGGATATAGCGGTCATACAAACTGAGCGTTCAAAAACTAGTCTTTGTGTGGAAAACTTTTTTATTTGACAAGATATCTTCACGAAATTTGGCATAGATTCTTGTCCAAGGTAAAGCTACAATCTCCGAACATATTATTCAGATCGTACCACTATAAGTTAGCATATAATTGTTATACAAACTGACCGATCAAAATCAATAAAAAGAACTTTTTATACATTTTTAGGCTATAAGAAATGCACCTGTAAAGGGCATTGTGGTTATGGTGCAGCCGATGTATCTCTCTCTTTTATAAGTAAATAAACATAAAAAAGCAAAGTCAAGAAATTTGGTTGTGAACAGATTCATGAAATTCTAACCTACAAAATTTTTATTGTTGCAATTACCTACAAGAAATCTGAAAAAAAGCTTTTATACTAACAATAATTCACAAATTAATGTCGTATTTTCAATAGTTAATTCTCTTATCTAATAAAGAATAATAGCCTGCTGGCCAGTAGTATTAATTATTAACCACATTTTAAATAAATCGTAAAAAAAATTAAATACATTTTGCAACCGCTGTTACGCGTTCATAAATAATATTCTAATGTCTAGTAATCTGAGTAAATACTTAACATATGTAAGTGCAAGCTACAAACAGCATGATCAAACGAACGTTCGCGCCCCCCGCCCGTTGGCGGCTTCAAACCACAACTTATTCAATGTGGGGGTTGAGTTTCCTGTGTTATTTTTATTTACATGTTAAGCGTGCACAACGTGACATACACATACAATAAGTATGAGCACAGCAAGGGATATGTGAATTGCCACACAGAACTCAAATCCAAATGAGATGAAGTGATGTGATCATAAATAGGCATATTAATGCATATAAATTTCAGTATACACAGTATGTATGTACATATATGCATTATATGCTTTAAAAGATGTGTCAGCATATGTACATAATAAATAAGCAACTATTATTTAAAAACAAAGAAAAACTTTTGCATATAAGAAGTGTTTATTTAATATAAGATTTTTTTTGTGAACTTCGATAATTTTGTTAAAGATATGAGTTAGGTAACTATAGGTAGTAAACGACTATGAGCATAGCATGCTTGTATGTTACATGTATGTGACTACATACTTAAAACTATTTGTAGGGACATATCTACAAATTCTACAGGGTATCTTATCACAAACAAAGGTAAAGAAGTGAAAATGTAGATAATTAAAGTTTGCGCGGATAAGATATCATAAAGCAATCACACAAGCATTGACGAACTACAAATAAATTACAATTATATATAGCTATAACTTTATAATTGAAATTGATTTGCAACTTATAAGGGGGGGTGGGGGGTGTTGCGTTTTAAATAAAAATATTGCAACCTTGCGAATGACTAATCGTCTGCAGCTGCATATAACAGCATCTATATCATTGGTTTAAGCTGTAATTGCCTTTGTTTTCAACTTCTTTCTCCGACATTGAATTCACTTATGACATTTTAAAAAATAGAAAGCAACAAAATGCATGCTTTTAACACTTCTTTGTTGAGCCAAGTGTTGTATGCACTTAGAGCGTAAAAGCGCAAGAACTCAACTTACACGAGAATTTTTCAACAAAATTGCTGATGTCGCAACGAAAATATATACGCACTAATAAGGCAATCTGCTAGGCTGAAAAGGATAGACCAAACATCCCCAATATATTATACTACCCACAAACGAAAATATACGCAATAATATGTTAGCATGCATGAATCAGAGCGGCATGCGCTGCAGTGGTGTTTTTTTTTTCTGTAAAGCATGTTGTGTATTCGCAATTGTATGTAAACAATTCACCTCCTGCCAACCACCCTCTAACTTTTGCATGTTTTGACCTGCTATGCCTGGCGTTGGGTCGTCGCGACAATGTACTCTTTCTGGGTTACGCTTCTATAGATGTCAATGAGCTCCCGCTAATAGGATTAGCCATAAGGAAGTAATTGTGTGAACAAAAATTCTAAAGTTATTTTCAAGCGTTTGTTCATTAACTAAAAAAATACTTATGCGAAATCACTGCACTAACGAGGGGTGGTTAACTGATAAACTCACCTGTACGTAGTTAATATGTATAAGTGTAGCTGATGTTTTATTTGTGCGTTTATATGTTCAAGTGTTCTGTAAAGATGTTAAGCGAAGTTTTGCACTTTGTACGACCTATAATGCGATCACAAAAACTTTTAGGAAACACTTTAAAAATTACACTGAGCAATCAGCACACAAAAAAATTAATACCAGATCCGTATATGACTTGTCTGTCTTGATTATTCGTAGAGACAAAACGTCATCATTGCTTAGTTTTTAAGAACTTCGTTTTATCGTACTATTTTCACAGTTCCACATTAAATCAGTTGGTATATACGACTTCTTAGTATGCTTAAGCTATGTTGCAAAATATGTTAATTGTTGAAATACTAAACGCATTCGCCCATTTTCATTATGTCGTTTATTTCTTTTTTCTTTACTGACAATTCAACTCTTTTCGTTTTTGCACTATGTCCATTGGACACTCATTTTATCACACAGCTGTGCTGCTATTCCTGTTAAGCAATTTTATTTTGGCTAACACTGTTTTGTCTGTTTAAAAATACTTTTTTCGTCAACATTAATCATATATGTTAGCCTCCTCAAAGAGTTTTTTAAAAAATTTAACTTATTTCATGGATAACAAACTTCCCGTTGTGGAAATAATGGACAGACGTGAACGAAAATTTGCAAAAATTACCATTCACAATAAATTACTGTCAAGATTCGCTGTCAAATCAGAGGCGAAGAAGAATTTAATAAAAGGGGATGCCGTTTGGCCGCATCATTAAAATTGTTATTCTTTGAATGCTTAAGCGTATCTCCAACATTGTATAGGCATTTTTCTTAATAAGGAGCATAAAGCAACATTGGACGACTACAAGACACACCACATTATACAAACAGGTAGGTGTAGGTTTGTATAATACACCTCAATAAGGAGTTAATCGATGCTAATAGGAATTCAAACAAACCACTTCCAAAAAATTCATAGAAACTTAAACAGAAATCTTTGGTAACGCTTTTGAGTAATTAACCAGTGATTTAACTGAAAATGGCTTTTCAGGATAATAACAGCAACAGCAAAAATTCAAATTATATCTATCTAATATAAGAAATGAATATATTATAATATACTATCGGGAGTATGCTTTGTTTATTTTGTTTGGCGGGATACGTTCAACCAAGCTTGAGAAGCTTTGAATATGTTTCTTTTAAAGCATTTAAATTTATTACAACCCTGTGTTATTTTGTTTTGAATAGTTGTTGGAAAATGTCTAAAAGGGCTTTCAATTAAGTTTATGTTTTACATGTAAGTAATTAATAAAAAATTTGAGTTTCTTAATATGATCTTAGGATATTTTATTCAATTATAGAGATAATTCCTAATGTCAGCAAAAACTGGTGTAACATTGTCCGAAATTGTTGCCAGTTATACTGGAATCACTTAGTTATAAGTTTTATATATTAAACGAATGTGATTAACAGTTTGAGTAGAAAATGTTTTAATTTGTAATGATATTAAAATTTCATGAAGCGCAATATAGTACATATAACATTGAAATAATAAAAGGTTATTTTAAATAATGCTTGAATTGTTTTAATTTTCATTTCAATTCAAGCAGAGTCTATACAACTCTGTGCTGTCTTCATTTTGTTTTGTTCTTATTTCAAATATTTGTTTGAATTTTAGGAGAGGAAAACTAGCTGCAATTTTAATTCTTGGCAGGGTTTGTAAGTATAAAGCTTGAATTACATTTTTTTAATTATAAGAACTAAACAGTGTAATTTCTATGTAACTGTAGAGCACGGTGGTTAAATATTAAGTCAGTAAACGGACTTGGATTCTTAGCTGTTTGGAATATTTTCTTAATAAATTAGCTTGGATTTATAACAATGGGTGACTACAAGCTACTCAATAAGGAGTTAGTTGATGCTAATAGAGAATTAAAACAAACCATTACAACATATCAAAATGAATTGGTTTTAACGCGTGCAGAGTTAATGGAACAGCATCGTATACGTGTTGAGGGCGAGCGCGAATATCGTGATCGTGTACTTTCATTAGTAGCACACAATTTTATGGCATTAATGCGTGATATCGATGCCAACGTAAATGTACCAGAATTACTAGGCTGTATCAGTTGTGGACAAAATGCAAATTACACTAATGGCTCCAGTGCTAAAAGTGATAGCAACAGTTCCAGGCGTAGAAGCACACATATTGTCAGAGAATTTCGTCGTTCTAGTGCAGTGTCCCGCCAAAATAGCGTACGAATGTCGCCAACACGGCGACCATATGCCAGTCATGCTATTATTGAGCAAACTGAAACAAGTAAATTAGAAGAATCTGAATCTGGTAGTGATATGGATTTAGATAACTCAATAAACAAAGATAATGTAATTGATGTGGAACTCGAAGAGAGCTACGAAAATGCAGATTTGCATTGCATTAAGGAAGCTAGTGAAGAAGAATGTGAAGAAAATGGTGGTGGTAAGAAGTGTACAGTAGTTGAGAAACGAAATAGACAACCAATCAGAGATATATCCAATATTAATATGGATCAAGTCGAAAATAAAGAAAATTTTGTAACAAGACGTGGAAAAGGGCGTAATCTGTGCAGTGACAATGAAAATTCTATAGAAATTCCACGTAATGTGGAAATTGGTATGTATTAAAATTGTCGCCAACAAATACATCAAACTTTATAAATAATTTAATACAATTATTATTTTTAGGTGACATGGAAGTGGAGGATGATTTGATACATGCAATGAACCATTCGTTACGTGTTTCAGGGAGCACAATAACAGATAATAATAAGTGGAAGGCTGTTGATGAAGAAAATTTTAAACGTCATGTTGTGGTGAAAGTTAAACGTATGCATGCACCACAACCGGCAGTGATACATTTTAGCACTGAAAGTGAGTCTAATGCATGACATATTTTTGTAGAAACAAGTGTTTCAATATAATATTAATTTGCAAACATTTATAGACACACTTATGCCAGAATATGAGATTTCAGTTGAAAACATAAGAAATGATGGTACGTATGTGTTATTACTTAAAGGCATTATATAAGTGTATTTATAATGTTTATATTGACAGAGTTAAGTTTGGGTTTAACCCAATTTTCTATGGGTAATTTCTTGGAAGCATCCTGCAGTACACCATGTCATGGCATAAAAGCAGCAATGGCAGAGGCAACGAATGATGAAACCACATGCGGTAGCTCATGTAGTTTGTCATCACCGACACCAAGCCTATGTGGTCGGCCATCACGCAGATGTGCGCCAACAACTTTAGCAGAACCTAGTTTAAGAGCAAAACTACGGAGTGACAGTGGCAAAAGAAAAGGCTCAACGAAGAAGCGTTAAATATTATTATTCATTAAAAACTTAGGTAATATTCTTTAAATAATATTATTATATTTAGTTATTAGTAACACTCATGGTACTTTGAAGTATATTTTTGCAGTTATGTTGTTTTAGCTGCAATTGAAATTCTAGGGAGAATTCAAGCAATGATCATTCAAATTTCTAATATGAATACAGAGCTCCATGATTGAGCATAAAACAAAGTGAACTGATTTCATTGCTACATATCATAAGAAATTTATTTTTATGCGTGCATAGTTAATAAACCAGCACCGTATACTTGTTGAGACAGATCATCACTATTTTTTTTACGTAAAAGCGCGTTGTTTTGAACGGTGGTTTGAAAATATGTACAAGACGTCAGCATGTTTTAATTAAGCTCATTATAGGTAATAAAAACATTGAGTATCTAAAAATGAACATGTTGTATTTTATTAAATTGTAGAGGAAAATTATCAAAAACTTAAGTAAAATTAATGAATGTATTTATGTAACTTTGGGCTGCTTTTATTTCTTATTATATATTTCGAACACTTGAACTTGACTGAATAAGTTCACAAAAATAACAGGCGACGACAATAAGCCGTTTGCTAAAGTAAATCGTCATTCAAAGGAAATAATTGCTTAAAAAGAAGACATTGAATTTATGCATAACGGGGTAAAGAAATGAAACCGTTTTAGTGCGAAAGTGTTGTTCCTTCCTTCTGTTGTTGGCAGAAACTAGTGTAGCATTGCCAATTGTACTGCAATTACTTAGTTATATGTTTTATACATAATACGAGTGGTTCTCAAAGTGTAAGTAGAAAAAGTTTAAATTTGCAATAATATTAAAATTTAATAATGCACAACATAGGTAATATTGAATTAAAAGTTATTACAAATAAAACTTGAAAGGTTTTGACATTTATTTCAATTCATGCGTTTGAGTCTATACCCTGTGTTTGTCTAGTTTGAAATTTAGGAGATGAAATTAGCTGCAATTGAAATTCTGGGCAGGATTTGCAAATATAAAGTTTGAAATTACATTTTCTTAGCTTGAGGATCAAGCATTCAAATTTCTATATGCACATAGACCGGAACAATGTTCTTTTCATAATAACTGTATGTATACACAACGGTCCTACAAAAGCACGTTCTACGTTAACAGAATTCACACGGATTTTATCCAGCAAGCGCTGTTATTTCGACGACTCGCTACAACACCAACAACAAATGACACCTTCATTACGGCACAAAACTTACAAATTTTATTTAAATATTTTTGTATTATATAATATTACTTGAAACACTGTAAATAAGTTCATAAAGTGTCGCTAAAAATCGTAATTGCATAATTATCAAAATGATCGACAAATTAAATTAGAGTTACACAAAAGTCCAATAAGCTGACAAACATATATAACAATAGCGGTAGCTTACATACAAACAAACATATTTGAAACCCCATGACATGGTGTATGACTGCAGTGACGCACATAATCACAGATATACACACATTCCGTCAATGCACACAGACATTTTGTCAGCTCTAAACAACTTCAATTTTGCCAAGACAACAATTTATATGGTCGACTGTTTGCGCCGTTGCCACATCTGGAATGTGCTGTGTGTTCTCATTTATTTCAGATATTATGTTCTGAATTTTTGTTAATATTTGACGTGATTCGTTCGCAGGCAATTGTGAATCTGGTTGATTGTGTTGCTCTTCAAGCGCTTCACTAGCTTCTACCGCAATCAAAGGCGTGCTGGCATCAGCTGCAACATCACCATCATTTGCTATGCTACTGGCGTGTAAATTTTCTTGTAGGTTCGGTATGCTGTGCGGCATATCTGCGCCCAGACTATTTACTAGATTATTAAGTACGGCGATTCGCTCGCGCAATTGCTCACGTTCACGCTGCAAAAGCTGCATTTGTGCAGCCTTTTCGTATTCACGTTGCTTTAGCATGCGTCTTTGTGTTTGATACAGCGTTATATATTCGCCAATTGTCTCAGTTTCGCCTTGCAGTTGTAGCACTAAATGTTCCAAGCGTTGTTTTTCATCAGTTAAATCGGCCACCTGTGACATGAGACGTGTGAAGCGTTGCTCTAAACGCTCGACGGCTTCTTCGGTCGGTAGGTATGGTGTGCTAGTGTTGCTGCTGCTTGTGGATAATTGCTTTACATGTTGGTGATGGTGCTGTGATTGCTCATGTCCATTATAGAGGTTATGTTCGTGATGATCCTCGTAATGATCGTGTGCGTGATGATCATGCTCGTCTTGGTGATGATCATGCTCGTGTTCGTGATGATCATGCTCGTGTTCGTGATGATCCAGCTCGTGTTCATGATGATCATGCTCATGTTCGTGTTCGTTATGATCATGTACATGGGTATGTTCATGTTCGTCGCCACAACCGTTGTGTTGATGTTCGTGCGATTCAACGTTGTGCTCATCTACATGATCGTCCTTCCCTGAAATGGCCTTCTTTTCCTGAAAATAGCATAAATGCTTACAGAAGCTCTCAGTTTTTTTTTTTAGTTTACCTGGCGTTGTAATTTCCTTTGCAAAGCTGTTGCTTTATTAGCTAGTTCCATATTCTCATGTGAAAGTCGTATCATTTCTTCGTCCTTATATTTGAAACGCTCATCAATAGTGTGTAGGCGTTCTTCCATTTCAATGTAGTTCGCACGCATTTCACGATTGGCATGCTCTTCGGCATCCAATTTATTCATTAACTCCGCTTTATCGTTTGTCAATTGTACGAAGCGCAGCTCCAACTCATCTAGTTGTTTTTTCAGTTCGTAGTTTTGTGCAAGCGCACGAGAAGCTGCGATTTTGTCCGACTCCATTGTGGCTAATAATTTGGTTTGGTCGGGCTGTTCGGCAGCATAATTTCGCATATGCTCCTCCAATTGTTCCAATTTTGTTTGCTTCTCCTCTAATTCACTACTGAGAATTTCAAGACGATCTTCTTGAGATTTAATTTTCAGTTGGAATTCATGACGTTCCAATTCGTAATCGGCAAATTGCTCTTTTAGTTTTTCCACTTCTTGGTCGGGTGCTATGCTGCGCGTTAGGGATTCCTAATTAAAGCTAAAGTTAGTATAGTTGTATATAAATAGGTACGCAAAATTAATTATACCTGTTCTTTCTCTTTCCTTAACTGATCTTGCCGGCTTAGATTCTTTTGTATGTCCTTTTCAAGTGCGCCTATATGATCCACCAGTTGACGTTCACGTTCTTGTTGCTTTGTGTACTCATCCAACAATTCAGAATTCTTTTCGCTCAAATTGCTTAATTCCGCATTTAAATGTTTTACATAGCTCTGATATTGATTGTTTGCTTGCTCTTTATCGTACGTCAACTGCTGCACCATAGCCTGAGGTAATGGAATTTTAAATTTTGAGAATGCTTATACTTTTATTCAAACACTTTAACTCACCTGTAAGTCTCTGATCTGCTGTTCGTACATGAATTGTGTTTGTGTTAGTGTTTCTACACGATTATCGGGCTGATTCACATTTGCCTCATCCGACAGTTGACGTATGCGCAGTTGTGTCATTTCAAGCTCATTGGTTTTTTCTTTGAACTGATGTTCAACATCTGTGGCGCGTTGCTGCATTACATCTAGCAGTCGTTTTAACTCATCTAGATGACCGGCTAGATCTTCTTGTTTTGCCGTCGATTGCGCTAATTTATGTTGCAGCTCAGCATTTGTGTTACGCAATTGTTCTAAGCTTTGTTGCTGCACTTGATAGTGTTGTAGTAGTTCCTCTTGACGTTGTGTCGTCGATTCCAACTGCGTACGCAGCTCTTCCGCTTCCAATTCACGCTCGCGACATAAAGTGCGATATTTATTCAAATCTGTTGTTAACGCAGCCTTCTCAGTTATAAGCACTTGAATTGCATTAACATGCTGTAGTTGCATTTGATCTGTTGTAGTTTCTTTTATCACAGTTGTTGCAACTGTTGGCGCCGAAAAACTATCCAGCGTTAGTGCTGGAAAATCTTGTGTTGTGGTTTGGAAGTAACTAGCGGCAGTGGGTGGTGTTGGGTCATACACAGTAGATATAGGAGTTGCAATAACTTCCGTTGTACTTACTGCTAACTCAGCTGTTGCTGAATTATCCGTCGCAATGTTATTGTCGATTGATGTTTGCATATTAGCGCTTGTAGCCTCATGGCCATTGGTAGATATATCATAATCGGATGCCTCAGATATGTTACTTGAAATACTGCTGCCACCGGCGATGCTACTGCTATGCGATTCTGTAGGTGCAGAATTGGCATTTTCCGCAGCACCACGTTTCTGGTATTCTCTCAACTACAAATAAATTGTTTTTTTTTTCATTACACAGATCAATAAAAACAACACCCAAGTCCCCCAAAACACAGCACAAACACACACTTATAAGCACGAACAGCGAAAAAACATTCAAGGGACTTGTCGCTGTGACGTGTCATTATTAATGTTTTTACCTTTTTCCTTGCGGCAGCCAATTTTTGTGCCTTACTCTCATTTGCTTCTTCACCTGGCATGGTTTACTGTTGGGGCTTGCTTCCAAAATATAATATTTATGGTAGATTTATAAAATATTGTTAAAATATTGAATGCTCGAAAACACAATTGAAAAAATAAATATTAGACTGACACACTGACACTTTGACACCTCAAAAAAGTCAACGAAAAATTAATTCACAGTGATTTGGTTAACATACATACAGGTGTGTTTCATTACTACACAATATTTTAAAGCTTATTGAATTTATCAAAAAAAAAAAATATCGTATATGTTAATATTTAATAATAAAATATAAACGTTTAAATAAACTTATGAAGTAAAAAAAGTTTCTGTCCAAAATAGAAATTTTATGCTTGCTTCTTCTCACTAAGAAAATTTAACTGAGTGCTATTGTGAATTGGATGCAAATTTCGCGCCTAGTTCTCGCTTCCGTTCTTTGCTTCCTGCTGCTAACAGTTTTTGTACGACTTTATCGACAATTTTTATAAAGAAATTGTAACATTGTGCAAACATAACGTTTAAAGTGGCTCTATTGCTCTATTATATATAATAATTTTAATAATTAGTATGAGAGTCTATTACTACAGAAAAGCAAGTAAGGAAGGGCTAAGTACGGGTGACACCTTTGTTTACATTTTATGAGGTCAATAACATTTTTGTTTACATTTAACCAAGTCCACAACCTTTGTTTACATTGTATGGGGTCAATGACCCTTTTATTTACATTTTATAGGGCCACTGAACCCTTGTTCAGATCGGACTACTATAGCATAAAGCTGATATACAAACTGGCCGATCAAATCCAGCCCGTTTATAGAAAACTTCTTTATTTCACAACATATCTTCATACAATTTGGCATGGGCCAAGGCAACGCAATAATTTTCGAACATATTGTTCAGATCGGATCACTGTAGTCTTCAAGCTGACCCATCATGTTAGCTTAGTTCGTTTACTTGTTTAGTAATAGCAGATCGAATTTAAGTACTTCTCCGAATACGAATGGGAGTCTATTTCCACCGAAAGATGCCAAAAACTTGTTGAATTAATGCCACGGCGCTGTGATTCTGAATATGGGGACCTCAATGCCGCTGTGTATGAGAAATATTAATGAAATTTAGAGAGCATTTTTTTCTGATAAAAATTTGTGCTTGCGTCAAAAATGGACAAAAACAATCTTTATTGAATAGAAAAGTCAAATAGAAAAGTGTTGTCAATAACAGATGCTTGCAAATTGATCCTTTCAAATTGCAAACCTTACTTGTTCTTGCTATTTTTTTATTCACTTTTGCAAACAAGTAACACAAAAAGCGCAAATATGTTTTAAAAAGTTTTTAATAATATTTTCTTTTCTTTCGAACACACGTAATACAATGTTGTTGTTTTAGTGCTACACTTAGAAAAAATACCTAATCGAATTTATTAAATATCGTTTCGCACTTGAATGGGTATACATACAGGGTTGCTTATAATTAATATAATTAAATTATGAAATAATAATAATATTATTAATAATAGTAAACAACCATTAACTATGCACTTGGCAATGAATTTCAAGTGCAAAAATAAAATTAAAAAAATAAAAACAACATTTACAAAATATTAACTACTAAACGTCGTACAAAACGACGCAGTCAATCTTGTGTACGTAAGTAGATCACTAAAATTTCTTGCAAAAAACAGATAGCGATAAACTTTGTATGTGAGAGAAAGTCAAAAATGCCTTTTTTATAACATTATAATATATAATATATTAGAATTAGTAATATTTGAAATTTCTACGTAGGAATTTTGTTTAAGTAAATTTTAGTTCAGCTTAAGTGCAATGCCGTTATGTGTATTTTTAGTTACACATATTTTTTATGAATAAAAATTAATAATTTATGCTCGAACTAGAAAGTATTTTTAAATTAATGTATAATTTTTAAAAATTTCGATACATTTACATAGGTATATTTTTTCATAAACTAAAAACGTTATAAATTAAATTTACTTTTGTAATAAATAAATGTTTTTTTTTTAATTTAAAATTTTTAACTCTTTTTAGTAACAATAGTTTACATTTTAATTACTTTGCGCTGCAATACTGCAATTAGCGATTTTTCTTTAACATAATTCATGCTTGAATACTATGCGTTTATTAAGTAATTTTAGCGTTATTTTCTAGACCTTCATTTGTGTGGCAAATGCAATAGCTTTTTTATGGTTTTTTGTTTAAATTATTTTTGACTTGTATACTTTGTATTTACAAACATTTTCTTTAATAGTTATGTGCATTTTTGTATATTAATGCAGCTTTAAGTCGTTAGAAAATTGTACTAGCTTAATTTTTATTAAATTTAAATTTTTATACCCAACACATAAATGCATGAGGTTATTTATATATTTTAAGAAATTATGAGTATTTTCTGTTTGCATTACTTCGTTTTTCATTAAAAAATAATTTTTTATATTATGTTTCACTATGTTAAGTTTTGTCAGTTGCCTTGAATTTGTATTAATTTAAAATGTATGTCATACTATTTGGTTTACAATGTAACACTATATACACACACACAATTATCTATGAGCTAAATAGTTAACAAAATGCTTATAATACTCATAAAATCGCGATATAATTACAATTTAACACACATATTTACGGCGTTGCTGCACATTTTTAAATTAAAAAATGTATTTTTAATATTTTTATAATCAACTCTTTACTGGGAAGTGCTAATTTTGTGGTTTAATTATGCATTGGTAGTCTTAAGTGTTGCGAGAAATAATTAAAAAACAATGAAATAAAGTAAAAGTGTAAAGCTGCGTTTATAATTGGCCGCTATATAAAATTTTGCAAGAATATTTGGTAAAAAGTCGGCGTTAAAATAAATTTTTTCAATTAATTATGAATAATATTAATAAAAAAAATATGCTATATATAAAAAAATATATACTTTTCGTTAATACTAATACAGAATTAAAAAAAAAAAAAAATTTTTAATTCAAATTTTTTTAAAATAATACTATTTGTGCATTATTTATATTGCAATAAAAATATTGTAACAAGCCAAACTAAGCATTTGCAGATTTTTTTAAATTCATAATTCAAGCTGATAGCTGGCAGCACTACACAACTACTTCAAAGCTCATTGCGCTTTGACATTTCCGAATTTATTTTGAAAATGCATTTTAACAACGCAATTAATGGTTGTTAATTAGACTACCAATGCTATTTAATTGCATTACTGCGTGCGACATTTGTGCGAAATAAGAAAACGTAGCACCGCTATAGTTTTACAACTACTACTTAACTAAGCAAATAAATACATACACCCGTTACACTAAAGCGCCTATTGCGTACCTTCAGCTAAACGCGACCGCTAGCTGCTGAAATTGTAGCTACGTACCGCGCGACCCGGCGTCACCAATTCCACTTTAATGTTTGCCGTCGCTGTTACTTTTGTTGTGTTCGTGTCCGAGTGGTGCGTTTCCACAGTAACTTCCGGTTGCACCACGATACTCTGCAACTCGGGAAAGTTACCCGTTTCGTGTGGCCCACCAAGCGTATGCGTGCTGTGTGCTGACGTTGTTGGTGGTGGGGGCGGCGGTGCAGCGCCTGGATGTTGTTGCTGCTGTTGCTGTTGTGTTTGATGATGCGCGTGTTGCTGTTGTTGTTGCTGCTGTGCTGTATGTGTTGATTTGTGAAATGTGGGCGCACCATAAATGCTTTGTTGTGTGCACTGTTGTTGTGTTGGTGGCGGCTGATGATGATGATGTTGCTGCATATAATTCGGTTGCTGCCGATGCATATAGTAATTACTCATGTTGTAATTGTTCATTTGTTGTGGCGCGCTATTTGTGGAATAATGCGCGTTATTCATATTCATATTTGCGCCATTCCATTCGTTATTCATTTGTATGGATGATGAGGAGGATTTCCAAGAGGGTGGCTCTTCGGTGATGGTCGTTAGTGAGGGATCATTTATGTTGATATCCTTGTGATAATGCATACTCTTGCTGCAGGAACGTGACGAACGACCGCCATGCACCACCACCGTTTTATTGGCACGTTTACAACGCGACATTACAGGGGATGGTGTTGAAATGCGATCTGGATGTTCGAGTGGCACCAGCTCAGCCTCAGGGCCACACATGCTTATGATAATAGGAAAGAGTACTAGGCCATTACAAGCGCCGACGCAAAGCACAACAAGCAGTAACCAAAAGAAATGACGTATGACGAATTCGAAGGGTGAGGTAGAGAGCATAAATACGGCTACAGCGGAAGTAAGTAGGCCGTGTATAAGTGGACCGAGCGACATTTGCATGGAGAGATGTATGCGGCGCTCGCGATTACCCACGGAAGTGATAAAGCCCTGTTGTTTGCGATAAACAATGATATGTTAATTACACGTTTAGTAAAAATTTGATGTGTTGCTGTGAACTTACCAGTGAAATGTGCACTGTAAGGCAGACAATCATGCCGACACTTAATATCAATATCACTGCGGGGATGGCCGACAGTTTTATGCCTAGTATTGTCATAGCGCCGAATATTTGTATCAACGAAGCGACGACGCTGAAGACTACCAAAACGGCAGCCCAAACGGAAAGCAGCAATATTGAGATTAATATGAAAGCAGCGAAAAGCGAAATGCATAATATCAGTGCAAGTGACCAGCGCAGTGTCATGTATTGTTCCCAGAATATGAATGGTATGCCTGCAAATTGAAGAAATAAAAAGAAAAAATATTATATGAGTGTTGCCACAAAAAAAAAACTTGTATCTGCATATCATATAATCATGTAACATTTAGACCACTTGCTTACCTGATGGATAGTTTGGTAGACCGCGCGCCTCAAATTTCACACTCAAATCGCGTATATGTCCAATTAGCGTCTTAATTTCCGATGTGCAGTTCAGTCCATGCAAATAGAAAGGCAACTGCGCATATACCAATGGTAGGCTCTTCGGTATTTTGAGATCGTATTCACCGGCCGTGTGGTAAAAATGACGTGGTTCTGGATGTAATTTACCCTAAAATATAGAAAATGGAAATCATTATAGCTATTTGCTTATTATATAACCAGTTATTCTAGAACTTACTTGTGATGCGCCATAAGCGAATACATCATTTGAAGCCCATGCTGACAGATAGTTGTAAAATGCTTTTGGATTGATTATGCCGTCACTGTCGACTAAACGATTTTGTGTGACGCCAGTTTTATCTACGGGATTATCAACATATCCGGTTTGCACGAGTAATTTGTATGCCAATATTGCATCGCTTGTTGCATTGGATAACCAGCCTTCGCGTGTTAGACGTCCCTCACTAAACTCACGATCAAATATGCGTTGTAGATTGATTAACCAATCACGGAATAGTGAGAGCCAAAAGTCTGGCAGACCGCCATTATCATTTTTAATAACGTGTGGTACACGCACAAAAGCCTCATGATACTCATGCAGCAAACGTTGATTGGTGGGATATTCAAAATTTCCTTGTGTCACCGCATACATGCTATAGAAACCGAACATCGATGCTTGTGCATTAAGAAATTTAAACTCATTTGTGTCTTTTGGCACCAGATCGATCAGATCGAGTCCATCTTGTAGACGCGTCGAGGCGTATAAACTGAAGACTAGCGTGCCAACAAATGTGGTAATTGTTAAGAACTTTACCCAGCTTTTCATCAAGAATGGTGTGTAATACTTGTAGGCGAAATTCGACAACGAAAATGATGGCATGCGTTTCTCGGCGCAGGAAAGTAGTGCCTCCTCTTGATACTTCAGTTGCGGCTGTTGTGCCGACATAGAGCCGGTACGATTGTTGCAGTTCTTCACAGTGTAAGCATTACGACGGCTACTGTTGTTGTAACGCGTGTTACACACAGCTGTCGCTACAGGTTTCTCTTTCCACACTGGGAAGCAACAGCAGAATATATCCGCACGGCCGGCAGTACGTCGACGCAAATCCAAAGAAATCATAGCGGGGAAAACTAGCAGCGCAGCAGCTAAATTGAAGCACATAACAATTGCTGCCTGTAAGCAGAATACTTTCAAGGCGGGCACTGGTATAAAAACGGCTGCAAAGAATGAACCCGATGTGACGCTAGCGCTGAAGAGTATGCTCGGTCCGACTTTCTTCAATATATATTTCGTCTGCTCTTTACGATTACTCTCCGCATAAGCAGCGGTAAGCATGAAAATGTGATCTACGCCAAGGCCGAGCGCAAGAAAGGGTACGACTTGCGTGCTCGCGGCATTGAAAACGATGCCGAGTAGCGCGCAAAGACCCAAACCAGCAGCTGTAGAGAAACCGATCAGCAATACGCCAGCTACACCAACACTGCTCTGTCCCTTAACCGGATCCTTCCAGCGTATAAGCGTACAAAAAGCATATAATACCGTTGCAATTACGCCAATTACAATGCTAGTCGGACTGGGATTTGAATACTTGGCCAGTATATCATCCAAGGTGGCCGATGAGAAGACATAAATATCATATTTATTCGATATGCGACGATTGCTCTTCAAAAGCGTCTCAACTTCTTTGGAAAAATTACGCTGCCACGCATTTAATACTTCTGCCGCTTTCTCCTGTGTCCAACCGATATGATGTACTTTATAATTCTCATTCCACAAATCAAACATTTCTTTCTCGGTCATTAGTTGCACCACCGTTTGCAGACCTTTCGCCTTACGCAAATGACTGGAGCGATTACGTTGTACACCGCCGACAATAAGCTCCTCCGGCCAATGCATATACTTGGTGGCATAGCCATAACAGCCGCCGGTGAGTATGGCACCAACATCGGGTGGTTGCTGACTATCCTTATTCGGTGCAGTTTCCGGACATTCAGCACTCTTGGGATCCAAACACGGTTTCTCCGTATAACCAGCCATAATGCCGGCACGCTTCATATACTGCTCCACCATATCAAAATCGAAGGGTATTTTCTGATCACTCATTTGTTGTTTCATCGTTTGTACGAGACTCGACGGATTCATTGTGCTCCACATGATGCGCTTATCGATGCCACTGTGGAAAATATTGTAAAATATCGAAAAAATTAGTATATATTAGTATTACAACTGTAGTTTGAAGTTTCTAATTTATAGTTTCATATGTTAACTTCATTACTTACGGTATTTGTACTGGAAATTCCGGTCCCAATAGCTGACTACCCTCCCAGAAGCAATCCAGCGGTGTTATTATCGAACACGGTATTAAATGCTTAAATATCTGTTCGATGTAGTAGTGTCCCTCAAAGCTGGGCGTTGTCGGTGAATTGCACATATCACGTAAACCCCATTCCGTATCGAACATATGCACCTTCACCGCCGTCGCCTTCTTTAACACTTCCAAATGCGCCAACAATGCTTGCGGATGCAGCACCGACGCATTCGCATCTTGCGCCGTCTGTATGATCAGCTGATGCGTTGAGAACTCATCTTCACCGATCGTTTTTTGTGTATAGGCGAGTTCAGATTCTAAACGACCACCTTCCTGTATCCACAATTGATGTACTTTTGAATGGATTTGTGCACTCTTTAGGCCCACACAAAATGTGCTTAACACTAGTATGGCTACAAAGAGCATTTTACCCGCATGCTTTTGTACCGAACTACCAAGTGATTCGAGATGTGATTGAAATACTGAGCGTAGGTAGATAGCGGTGCGGTTCCCTCGCGCTTTGCCCTGTAAATATAATATAAAATTAAGGAATTAGTTTGTTTGTAAAATCAAGAGGTTGCTTAAAGCTTTAAACTATATATACAAGTAAAAAAAAGATGAACGAGATCGGTCGAGTTTTACGTGGCATGTCGATTATTAATATTTTTATGCGTTTAGTGGATTTGTTTATCGGTCGAAGGTTCGTAATAGATTGAAGCTTAACATAAAACACAAAGAATATTTAACAAAAATACACTGCACAATTAAAAAAAATTTCCATACAAAAACTTAATTTTGACTGGTCAGTAAGGTGGTTCGCAACTATATGTTATGTTCGTTCTCAACAATTTGTTCGGTTACTATAGCTTTCGACAATAATCTATGCCACATTTTGTTTCACACATGGACTTGATTTGGTAGCGTCAGTCTCTAAGGCAGCTATATGCCACAGTAGTCCATTGTCAGCGGTACCGACAAATGTGCAGTTTCTTAGTGAGACAAGGATGTGTGTCAAATTTCAGTTCGATAACTCAAAAACTCAGCGACTAGTGCGGGTATATATAGACAGACAGATGGACAAAGAGACGAGCCTGGCTAAATTGACTGTCTACAGCAGACTTAGTGTGATCCCGCCTGCTTAGATACGAGTCACAGAATTTAATCTAATGTAAACTTGCATGAAAGCGCTGAAAAGCACTAAGGCGCGTAAATAATAGGTTATTTCATTATAAAACCATGCAAAAGCGCAGGTGTTTGCACGTACCGCCTTGCATTTGTTTTTATCAAAAAATTAAATTGTCCAGTATAAAACAAAAATGGGGAAAAAAATTGTTATTCAGCACATGTCGCGCCAGACTCAAGAATTTAAGATACATTTCAATTGCGTCCTCTATTTTGTGCAGTGTTTCGACAGCAATTCATTACCTGCCTACCAATTGATTACTTCATTTGCCTTACTTTTACTACGCTTTACCGCACCTCACAGCGGACGGACATGAAGTCGTGCTGTGCGCGCATTCGAGTTCTTAATTTCGTTGCAATTTTCCGAATTCGAAAAATTTCATTCGCTCCCGCTGGCGGCATTTTGCTTAGAAAACAACATGCGCATGCGTCTACAAAGAGTTCTAATATACCCATTTTCCACTTAGACGTCATTTCTTTGAAGTTTCTTGCAACTACAACGACGGTGATGGTGGCACAGCGCTGTCTATTCGTTGAATTCTACGCCCTTTCAGACGATTTATATGTATGTATTTTCTAACATTTGTTTTTTGTTGTTTTTGTTGCTTTTATTGTTTTTGTTCTTTGCCTGTTCTCCCGTCAATTTCTCGGTATTCGGAACGCACCTAAGCATACTGCTCACAAACTCACCACGAACATCGTCCTTTCGTTCCGCAGATTAGGCGGTACTCAGTGGAATTAAGTTGTCGTTGCTTCGTTGCTCTTGTCCGAGTTTAATTGTGTTTGTCGTTTCGTTGCAAATGCACCACCTAGCAACTATAATATATCTTTCATGTTTTCATATTTGTTGTTGTTGTCATGCATTGCACGTAACTGTCGGGGATGCATTTAGTGTGTCATCGCCCGGATCTTTCATCAAATGCATGCGCACCTTCACACATACAACATACAACATATAGCTTTACAAATATATATAGAAAAATACCAATCCACGCTGGACAATGCATGTTCTGCGCACAAATCAATTACCCTGAAGTGTCTTCCCTGTACGCTATTAGCCTGTTGCTCGGCTGCTTTATGCTTATATCCTTAATACGAGGAAATTTTCGATTGTTCGTGCGCACTATGACATGATTGTTAGATGGTCGGTCGATCGCTTATACACCTTACACGTCTTATTTGCCAAGCAAATACAATGCGCATAATTGGAAATATCTGTGTTTTTTTGCAACGACAGTTTTCATTGTGTGTCTTCATTTCTTTCGTTTTGGTAGATATTAGAAGAAATCGTTAATTCATCATACATTTTGGCGAACTCTTACATCATCACTACTATTTACTTTTGTAATTTTTTTTTTGAAAAACTATATTGTTTTTTTGTTTCGACCTATATCACTCAGTCATCCCATTTTATTTTTTTACTTTTGAGTACCCCTGTATTTAAAATCACAACACGTTAGATAACTGTACGTAATTTTTATTGAAGATTGATCGCTGGATCGCATTAACAGAAGAATTTTGAGGTTAGGTTTGCTCAGACCCATGTTCTGTGATAATTTGCCTATGCGGTAGCAGAATTAAGTGTATACAAGTAAAAATAATAACAAAAGAACAGTAGCTTCAGCTATGCTTGAGAGTTCCTCGATAGTATTGACAATATCGAAAAAGAGTCAAGGTGTTTTAATGTAATTCTTCTCAGAACAGGAAATTTGTCTTTGGACAAAATCTGAAAAGAGTCAAGTTGTTTGAATATGCTTCCTTCCAGAATAGCAAACTGATGCGTTGGAAGTTGTCTTGGCTTCTCCTAAATGGCTGTGGCATTGTGACACAAAGTATTGAAGTGTTGGAATCCTTAGCGGAAATAAGAACTGTAGTGTTGTTAACCTCAGATTTATAGCAACGCCTTTAAAGACCTGTCAATCAGTAAAAGGCTTCGAAAACTGCAAGCAATGTCGATGTAGCTAGATTTTCGGCAACATAGCAATAGATAAATCTCTTTCTTACATACATATATGGGTGGATTACACATAGATTGGAGTACTTGGTTTAATTTCGGTCCACATTGACTTACATTTTTGAATCGGCTCGTTCTGTGACTAAATACTTCTGTCATGGCGGTTAAAGACTTTCACAAACAGTTGCTTGAAAGTTTTAGAGTTGGGTTGAAGAGATAGAGCTATGGGATTTTGCTCTCGAATTACTACTATCAAAGCGATACTCAGGGAAGGTTATTAATCTATCAAATTTTGAAGTTCACTGATGAACAGATGAAGTGCAGGAAATCGGTCGTCATTGCTTGATAATATGGGTGTCGAAACCGACAATATAGGTGTTATGAAGGAACTCATTGTGTTTCCACAGGCTAACTGCTAGATGGATCTGTATGCTGATAGTTTATAATAAGAAGATAAAAAAGTTTACTTGAAAGCTCCAAGAAAGCTCTAATGATGCTAAAAGCTCAAAACATTTCACTTTTGTTTTTCAAAGTTTGGAGAATCTTTATATGTAAAAAAAAGCTCATATGTAAAGGAATGTACGTGCTACATGAAATAATTAAGCGCCTTTTACCCTATTGCCTGTTTCTTCGTCTTGTTTTTATTTTCCCATGACTTTAGTTATTTTAAAGCGCATGTTCTAATCAACGGAGACTATAAAAACAGATAGTCAAAGATTCTTGTACAATAAAAAAAAAAAAACGTGGAAAAATATATAAAAACAAAAGAAAAAATTAAGCATATGTAATTAGACTGAAGATCAGCCAATTTAAAAACGATTACAAATGCCACACAAGCTAATGGAAAAACCATTTTTGTGTGAGGAACGTGATTGCGCTACAAATTTTAAATATATATACATATACATATATATATTATATGTACGTAAATATGTATATTATTATATATAGCTACTCTGCCCGTGTCAGTTGTGCAGCATTTCCACATGTACAAGCACAACAACATAACGTAATAAAATCAGTGATCTTTCTACATCTTAATTCAACTTTCCTCCCCTCAACGCGCTCTGCTCTCACCACACACGCTTCTAATGTGCATTTCTCGCTTTTAGTCTAGCTTGCGCGTAACTTTTATTACCCATTTCGTTAGCTGTTGAATGAGTTGTATTGCATCAATGGCAAGCGTAAGTAAAGACAATAACAACAACAACAACAACAACTACTACTACTGCAGTAAAAGACAAAAAACCCGAAATAATAATAAATGAAATATCAAAGCAATTACACTACAACTCGTCTAACAATACAATATAACAACAACACACATAAAAACAGAGAAACAAAAAATAATAATATAGAAGAAATAAAGTGAAGAAAGCGTATGTGTGTGTATGTATGTGTAGCGAGTGGACCACCCAGCCGGCTGAAGCGGCTATGCTGATGATGATATCCGGCGAATGTTTGGTTGCGACCACACACACATATACATACATATGTACAAATAATTAAACCTATATTTGTAGATATGTATGTAAATTTGTATGCGCGGAAATGTGTACTGTGGTCGAGGCCTATCTAATGGTTTGTAGTAAAAGCATAAAAAACGTAGATAAAAAAGGGGGAAAAAATATATATAATTAGAAATAATTAAGCGCTAGAAAAAACACATATACATACATCTGCATGTATGCATGTATGTGTGACAGCTTAATTGATGTGCGCGTCGGCTGTCAGTTTGTATAGCTGGACCGCACACACTGTTGTGAATTTATTACAGCAACAAAAACATTATAGTAAGATACAACAACAATACTAATGTTAGAGAGAACAACAACATTATAGTGAGATACAACAACTACATTAATGTTGGCGACAACAACAACATTAGTGTTAGATATAACAACAACAACAACAATAGCGCATCATAAGCCGATTTCAGAGCTTACGTTACAACAACAGCAATAATATAATAAATTTCTACTGCTTTTGATAAGTATATCAATGAAGACAACTAACTGCGCTTCTAAGCTTCGCAACACAGTGACTTCTACAAATGTATGTATATGTATGTACATATGTAAGTATGTATGTGCTGCATAATTATAAGCGTGTAGGCTATAAAATCATGTACAAATATATTGAATATATTTCAACTGGTGTCCCAGCGCACGTTTTGTTGTTGTGGCTATATACATTTGCACACACATACATATTTACAAGTACGTGCATGTATGTATCTATAGACATGTAAAAAATAGTGGCTTTGCGAACAACTCAATTAAGCGTAAATTTTGAATTCTCGTTTGTTGCGATTGAACAATAGAAATAGTAACAGCAACAACAACAATCACGCTAATGAAGCAGCGGCAAAAAGCGCAGAAAAAACAAA